AGGCATTTAGATCTCACGGCGATGCGCTGTTTAGGCATTTAGATCTCACGGCGATGCGCTGTTTAGGCATTTAGATCTTAACGGCGATGCGCTATTTAGACATTTAGATAGCATTTCAACGGGAAATGAGCTTGGAGCTCCAAAGGAACAGTTACAAAGAAAGCTTTGGAAACTGTAAAAAAAACTTACTTTCGTTTCGGTACTGTTTCTGTTACTGATGGGAAGCGGCCAGAGGAAATGCTCGTGGACAGATACTCACGTGTGTGAAGCAGAGGCGGCGGGCAGCTTTCTGTGAGGGGCCGGAGAGTAGACACTTTAGGCCTTGGGGGCCACGGACGGTCCCTGTCTCATACTCTGTTTTCCCACGATCCTTTAAACATGTAAAAACATTCTCAGCCCACAGGCCATACAAAAACACACCATGGGCCAGACTGGGCCCAGGGGCCATAGTTTGCTGACCCTTGGTTTGCAGTAATACATGGTCTGTTAAAACCCACTGATTTTGACACTGACTTGTTAAGTTGAAGTAATGCTATCTGTGTTATGACCAGGAGGTCGGAATCGAAACTCGTCTTCTAGCACGTTTTCAGGAAATACCTGGCGTTTTGAATATGACCACACATGCTGGAGTGTGGGATGCAGTTACTTTGCTCTAAATCTAAACTCTAGCCACACACAGCTGTTCCACTGCCTGGGCTAAATGCTCACTTCTGCCATCTGCATTGGCTGCACAGGGGGGCCCGGAGTGGGTCCTGGACGGCTGTCAGCACTGGGTCTCGTGGGGGCCCAGGGGCGGGTCCTGGACGGCTGTCGGCACTGGGTCTCGTGGGGGCCCAGGGGCGGGTCCTGGACGGCTGTCGGCACTGGGTCTCGTGGGGGCCCAGGGGCGGGTCCTGGACGGCTGTCGGCACTGGGTCTCGTGGGGGCCCAGGGGCGGGTCCTGGGCGGCTGTCGGCACTGGGTCTCGTGGGGGCCCAGGGGCGGGTCCTGGGCGGCTGTGGGCACTGGGTCTCGTCGGGGCCCGGGGCGGGTCCTGGGCGGCTGTCGGCACTGGGTCTCGTGGGGGCCCGGGGCGGGTCCTGGGCGGCTGTCTCAGCCTTGGCAGCCAGGTCTACAGGTCTTTTTTGGCACCTGCAAACCAGCCGCCATGGTTCCCTCAGTCAGAAGACGGCTGACCTCGCTCTTCCTGTTCTCTGACTGACCATTTCTGTTTGTTCGTGAGTACTCTGCAGTCCCTTAGCCTGTGAGGCCATGGCTCACCTGGCTGCTGACGGAGGTGGGCTCTTACTCGAATGGGTGCAGCATCAGCACCTGGCGGAAGGAAAACGGGAAAGCTATCTGAAAACTGGGTCCCACTCACTGGTGATTGCTGGGGACCCCCGACCACTCTGGCGATTGCTGGAGACCCCCAACCGCTCATGGTGACCGTCGGGGACCCCCGACCGCTCATGGTGACCGTCGGGGACCCCCGACCGCTCATGGCGACCGTCAGGGACTCCTGATTGGCTGTCCACGAGGCTGTGGGCCTAGCAGCAGCTGCGGTTCTTGTCTTTGTCATGCTCTATACCGTCTCTTCCCCACCCCCTAGAGTCATCTGTCTGGCTTATCTGTAGGACACTGCCCAACCTCCCTGCCTCCGCCCTCCCGCCTGCCCCATCCTCTCCAGCCTGGACCTTTGCCGTCACCCGCTGTGTTCTTTTGTCTCGCCTCCTCTAAACGCATTCTTACGGAGGGCAGAGCCTCTGTGGAAACATAGAAATCAGATACCACGTCCCTGTTGTCTTTCACTGCTCCCTCACACATTCACCCCCCCACCCCCATTATTTCCCTTTGCATTGAGGCTGAAATCCTTACCTTGACCTGCAAGGCCCTAAGTGAGCTGGCCCGCGGGCCCTTTTGGTCGCCCTCCTGACTCATGATTCTGTGGTTACTCTGGCTTCCTCCTTGCTCCGCACCCCACCAGCCCTCCTGTCTCAGGTCTTTGTGCCTGTGGCGCGGCTTTGGAGCACACCTGCCCTGTGGTTTGTACCTCTGGTGCCGTCCCCTCCACGCGGCCTTCCCGGCCACTCGGGAGCACTTGGTTTGTTCCGTGTCAGCCCTGGAGGTCAGCGAGGTCATCTTGTTTATTGCCCTGTCCCCAGGGGCTGTGCCCAGCGTCTGGCACCTAGTGGTCACACACTGATAAATGAATGCAGTAAGTACGATGGTATGTTATCGTGAGAGGAGCACCTTCTCTAACTGCCCGTCCAGAACTTGAATCCCCTCCACAATGCACTTGACCTGAGAGTCAGGCCAGTCTTCCGCTTTGGTGGACACAGGGGACAGTGCCAGCAGCCTCTTGAGCAGCTGGCTGCCAAGCCAGGGTTTCTCTTGGCGACCTGGATTCTGCCCATTCGCAGCCTTGTCTGTCTTCTGTGCATCATTCGCTGACAGTTTAAGACGGCTGTCCTGTGCCTCTTAGTCTTTGCCTTGACAACCCTGTTTCCTTCAGCCAGAAGACATGGGGGGATGACACATCACAGGAGCCTGTCCTGTCTGGCTGGAACCAAGTCTTAAAGGTGTCCACCTCCAGGGCCTGGCATGCATACAGCCCGCTCGTAGAAGCTGCTAGCGCTGGTTCCTTCCCTTATCATGCAGCCTTTATCACGAGTGTCCTGCATGCGAGATCAGTGTTGAGCCCTTAATGCACATCACTCCTCTGGCTAACCCTGGGAGTTGTGTGGTTTGACCCTACATTAGAGCTAAGGAAGCAGCAGAAAGAGGGCCAGTGACTGCCAAGTTCCCATAGCCTTAAACGGGAGTCCTGGTGTGACCCTGCTCTGTCCCCCCAGTCTGCGCCCACGTGCTGTGCTCCACTGCCTCTGCTCACCTGGCGATGGCGCTGTTTCATAACTACAATTACGTTGAAATGTCTCAGTGATGTAAAAGGTGACTGAAGGGCTTGATCATAACGTCCTTTGCTGTATACTATTAATAACTAAGGTTTGCTTTTAATAGGAGAGGATGTTATAAATGGTAAACATGTTATGATTAAACTCGAGCATCTGGAAGAAAAGACTAGATATTAACTACGTTTTTGTGTTGTGGTATAATCACTTCTCTTATAAAAGTTGATTATTTCTTAAGTAGCTGTTTTGTCATTTTCATTCATTATGTATAGTAAAAATATTTCTGATCTTTTTAATATTTAGACTAAAGTTTAAAGTTTAGAGATTTATTCTTTAATGTGCAATATAATTCAGTAATGGGTGTTTTTTGAAGGAAGTGTTTATGTGTGTATTTAATTGTAGGCAAATCATGAAGTATGTTTATATAACTATGACATATTTTTTAACTTATTAGGGACTGGAGAAGAAGATGACTATGTCGATGACTTTAATAGGTAAGAAAAATATTTGGGCAACAAATACACAAATTTAAATAATTTTTGAACACAGGAAAGTAAGACAGAATTGCATCTCGTGCTTATATTAGTGTATTTGATCCTCTTGTTCAGTTGATTGATTGTGAATAAGAGATAGTTAATCCAAAATTATATATTTGACTTGGGAGCATGTTTTTTAATATATGTCTGTATTAAGTTTAGGAAATTTGATAAGAAAAAATACCGAGGAAAGACTCAGGTCATTTAGAAGCAATTACGTTGCTGTGTTCTAAGCACTCTTTTTCTCCACCTTTCATCTCAGATTATTTTTCTGAGAGCCTTCCCCTTGGGAGTGGGGATGAGACGAGAATGCCCACTGTCACCACTCCTATTCAGTATTGTTCTGGAAGTCCTAGCCAGAGCAATAAAGAAAGGAAAAGAAATAAAGGGTATCCAAATTAGAAAGGAAGAAGTAAAATTATTGCAGATGATATGATCCTATATGTAGAAAACTCCAAAAAGTCCACAAGAAAATTGCTGGAAGTGTAACTAATGTCATTGAATAATTTGTGTATAAATTATCAAATGGGAACCTGATTTGCTATGTAAACTTTCACTGAAAAGACAATAAAATATTATTTAAAGAAAATAAAATAAAATTGCTAGAACTAATTGAGGAATTCAGCAAGGTTGCAGGCTACAAAGTCAACATGCAAAACTCATTGGGGTTTCTATCTACCAACTATGAGAAGTCTGAAAAGGAAATCAAGAAAACTATACCATTTATAATAGCGCCTAAAAAAAAAAAAAAAAAAAAAAAAAACAACAACCTAGGAAAACACCTAACTAGAGATGAAAAAGCCTTACATAATGAAAACTATACAACACTGCTGCAGGAGTGTTGACCTAAATAGATCTAAGTAAATGGAAAGACATTCCATGCTCATAGATTGGAAGACTTAATATTGTGAAAATGTCAGTACCACCCAAAGCAATCTATAGATTCAACACAATCCACTTTTTACCAAAATGGAAAAGCTGTGTGAAAAGGAAAGAGACCTCAAATAGCCAAAACAATTTTGAAGGAGAACAAAATTAGAGGCCTTATACTCTCCAGTTTCCAAGCTTACTATATAACTACAGTACTGCCTGGTACTGGTTCAATGATAGACACATAGACCAGTGGAATAGAATTGAGAACCCAGAAATACATCCATGCATCTGTGGACAACTGATCTTTGACAAGGGTGCTAAGTCCATTCAGTGGGGAATGGACAGTGTTCTCAATAAGTGGTGCTGGCAAAATTGGATTTCCACATGGAGAAAAATAAAGCAGGGCCCATAACTCAGACCATATACAAAATCTAATTCAGAATGGATCAAGGACCTAAATGTTAAGACTAAAACTATAAATCTTGGAAGAAAACATAGGGACAAAATGATGGGACCTAATTTTCTTTAATTCTAGAATGTTAAATTCAACAACAAATGCGCAAGCAACAGAAGACAAAATATAACTGGGACCTCATAAGAAATAAATGCTTGTTGTGTTCATCAAAAGAGTTTATCAAAAGAGTAAAAAGACAACCTGCAGACTGGGAAGAAATCCTTGGGAACCATGTATCTGATAAGGGTCTAATATCTACAATACATATAATACTTCTACAACTTAATAGTAAAAATAGAAATAACCCAATAAAAATGACAGTAAAAAGAAAAAAAAGAAAAATAACAGTAAAAATAAAAATGAAAAGAATCGGCAAAGGACCTAAACAGACACTTCTCCGAAGAGGAGAGTCAGACAGTCAACATAGACATGAAAAGATTCTCGTCTTCATTTGCTACTCAAAGTCACACCCCACCCATTGCTGTCGGGTCGATTCCGACTCCTAGTAACCCTATAATACAGAGTAGAACTGCCCTGATTAGCAGCCATTGCTCTTACCCGGTGCACCACCTGGGCTTCTCATCAGCCACTCAAAACCAAAACCAAACCCATTGCCATCGAGTCAGTTCTGACTCATAGCAACCCTGTAAGACAGGGTAGAACCTCCCCATATGGTTTCCAAGGAGCAGATGGTGGATTCGAACTGCCGACCTTTTGGTTAGCAGCCTGAGCTCTTAACCACTGCGCGACCAGGGCTAATTAGAGAGATGCAAGTCAAAACTACAGTGAGATACCACCTCACCCCTACTACAATGGCCATGATCAAGAAAACAGAAGCCAGCAAATGTTGGTGAGGATGTGGGGAGATAGGAATCCGTATCCACTGCTCATGGGAACGTAAAACGGTACAACCGTTGTGGAAAACAGTATGTTGATTCCTCAGAAAATTAGAAATAGAGCTACCATGAGATCCGGCAATCCCACTCCTAGGTATATACCCTAGGGACCTGGAAGTGGGGACACGAACAGACGTATGTACTCCAATGTTCATCCCAGTGATATACACAATAGCAAAAAGATGGAAATAATCCAGGTGCCTCTCAACTGGTGAATGAATAAGCACAATGTGATACATCCATACAATGGAATGTTATTTAGCCCGGAAGTGCAGTGAAGTCCCAGTACATCCTACAGTGTGGTTGCACCTTGAAAACGGTATGCTGAATGAAGTCAGTCAGTCACAAAAGGACAAATATTGTCCAGTCTCACTTACATGAAATGACAAGAATAGCTAAATATATAAAAGCTATTGCAACTGATATCACTAAGCTGTACACTAGAATTTTTTTAACAAAGGTGTGAAACTGCTACATTTAATTTTACAAAAAAACAGCAGGGAAAAAAAAAAAACAAAAAGCAGCAGCCATTGATAATACTTTGCTACAAAGAAACACCTCATGGGATTAATTTTCTTGGTTCAGGGTTTGAGGTGGTGGTCTCGTGGTCCTGTCCAGTGAATTGGCCTGATATTGTTTGAAGAGTTTCTGCTCTTCATCCTAGTTCAGTGGATAATGCCTGGAGCCTTGAAAGCTTGCGGGTAGCCGTCCAAGATACAGCAGTTGGTCTGTGAATCGCCTGGAGCAACAGGAAGGAGGAGATCCAAGAATCGGAGAAGGAAGTGGTCTGCTTGTCTAATTGCCTGCATAAACTACTGTCTCCCTTGCCATGAGACCAGAAGAAATGAATGGTACCCGACTACTATTACTCATCTTTTTGATAAGGAACCCAATAGAGGAATCTTGGTCAAAAGGATGAAAATTGAGGAACGGAACTTCATATTCTTATTTGGAAACCGGACTTACTGAATACATTGAGACTGGAGGAACCCCCAAATCTATTGCCTGGTGTCTTAGTCATCTAGTGCTGCTGTAACAGAAATCCCCCTAGTGGGTGGCTTTAACAAAGAGAAATTTATTCTCTCACAGTCTAGCAGGCTACAAGTTCAAATTCAGGGCGTCAACTCCAGGGGAAGGCTTTCTCTTTTGGCTCTGGAGGAAGGTCCTTGTTATCAACCTTCCCTTGGTCTGGGAGCATCTCAGCGCGGGAACCTCAGGTCCAAAGGACGCGCTGTGCTCCCATCACTGCTTTCTTGGTGGTATGAGGTCCCTATGTCTCTCTGCTTGCTTCCGTCTTTTATATCTCAAAAGAGATTGGCTTAAGACACTATCTAGTAGATTTCATCAGTATAACTGCTACTAATCCATCTTATTACATCAGAGTGATAGCGTTTACAACACATAGGGAAATCACATCAGATGACAAAATGGTAGACAATTATACAATACTGGGAATCATGACCTAGCCAAGGTGACAGGTATTTTGGGGGGACACAATTCAATCCATGACACCTGGAAACAGCATTTGAACCTTGAGCCAAAACTATTCCATGAAGTCATCTTTAAACTAAAGCGCCTAAGTAATGTCTGTCTTGAGTGTTGCACCCTGTTGAAGATTCCGTCTATGAGATTGAAATGCCAACAGTCAGTCTAAAGGACAGACGAGAACTTTAAGGGGCAGAGAGTACAAGGGAAACAACATTGGTGAAACAGTAAGGGCAGAGGTAGTGAGAATGGTGCAGTGTGAAGACTGTAACCGTGGTCGATGAACTGTATGTTGGGGGTATGTTTTGTTGTGTGTATTTTCAGCAAAAATAGAATAAAAATAATCTATAAATCTTGGATAATAATAAATTTGGGTCATTGTACCAAAAAGAATTGGTTAACTTTGAACCATTTCATAAGGTAGCGTATGATCAAGAACCGATGATATTGAAGGGAGAGGTCCAAGCTGCACTTAAAGGCGTATGCGAAAAATAAGTCTCCAGGAATTGACGGAATACCAGTCAACAAACAGATGCAGTGCTGGAGGTGCTCAAGAAAGTTGGAAGACAGCTACTTGGCCAACTGATTGGAAGAGAGCCATATGCGTGCCCATTCCAAAGAAAGGTGATCCAACAGAATGCAGAAATTATCAAACAGTATCATTAATATCACACGCAAGAAAAATTTAACTGAAGAGCATACAAAAATAGTTGCAGCAGTACATCAACATAGAACTGCCAGAAATTTAACCTGGATTCAGAAGAGGTCATGGAACAAGGGATATCATTGCTGATGTCAGGTGGATCTTGGCTGAAAGTAGGGAATACCAGAAAGATGTTTACCTGTGTTTTATTGGCTATGCAAAGGCATTCGACCATGTGGATCATAACAAATTGTGGATAACAGTTCAAAGAATGGGAATTCCAGAACACTTGATTGTGCTCATGTGAAACCTGTAGTTAGACTGAGAGGCAGTCATTCGAACAGAACAAGGGGATACTGCGTGGTTTAAAGTCAGGAGAGGTGTGCGTCCTTTCGCCATACTTATTCAATCTGTATGCTAAGCAAATCTGAGAAGTTGGACTCTGTGAAGAAGAGCAGGGCATCAGGATTGGAGGAAGACTCATTAACAACCTGTAATATCCAGTTGATACAACCTTGCTTGCTGAAAGTGAAGAGGACTTGAAGCACTTACTGATGAAGATCAAAGACCACAGCCTTCAGTATGAATTACACCTCAACATAAATCCTCACAACTGGACCAATAAGCAACATCATGATAAACGGAGAAAAGATTGAAGTTGCAAGGATTTCATTTTACTTGGATCCACAATCAACACCCTTGGAAGCAGCAGTCAAGAAATCAAAAGACACATTGCATTGGGTGGGCAAATCTGCTGCAAAAGACCTCTTTCAAGTGTTAAAAAGCAAAGATGTCACTTTGAGGTCTACAGTGTGCCAGACCCAAGTCATGATATTTTCAGTCATCTCGTATGCATTTGAAGGCTGGACAGTGAGTAAGGAAGAGCAAAGAATTGATGCATTTGAATTATGATGTTGCCGAAGAATATTGAATACACCATGGACTGTCAGAAGAACGAACAGGTATGTCTTGGAAGAAGTATAGCCAGAGTGCTCCTTGGAAGTAAGATGGCAAGACTTTGGACATGTTATCAGGAGGGAGCAGTCCCTTGAGAAGGACATCACGCTTGGTAAAGTAGAGGGTGCGGACTCGACGGCACGTAACAGCAACGAATCTGAATACAGGTTATCCCCGACTTACGCTGTGTTTGAGTTACGAGGAACTGCCTTCACAACTGTTGTTGTCTTGTATGTTTATTAGTAATGTGTGCTACATACAGTGTGCAGCGTGTAATTTGCTGATGTTATCGTTCTCATGCCAACCCCCAAAGACAAATGAAGATCGGATTTATAACGACACTGATAAAAAAAAGCCAATGATAATGAAACTAGGAAAAAAAAAGATGTATGTGACAATGTCAGAACTTACTTATGATGGAGTTGTTGGAACAGAACCCTGTCATACATTGGAGGCTACTTGTATAATGTGGCTATGATCAGAAATTTTAAATCAGATGGCTGATAATTTTATATGTGACAATTTTTTTTCCTGTTTGGAGTTTGTATGCATTTTTCAACAACTCACATGGTTTTTGTGAGGGTGTGATGTAGGTGGGGTTTTAAAAACCAGTGTTACTTGCCGTTACGACTGTAGTCCCCATTACAGACCTCAGTGTTCTCATCTGTTCAGTCGACGTATCTGTGTTGCTGCTCTTGCAAAGTTATTTTAAGAATCAAGTGAAATTGTGTATATGAAATTAATGATATTGACAGCAGTGGGTTTGTTTTTTTGTGGTTTATGATGTTTTACCTAAAGGATTAAAATAAATATCCAAATGTTAAGGAATGGTAGTTACTCCCTTGAATGTTGACATTCGGAGTTCTTATCTGTCCTTTTCTCCTCCTGAAATCAGTAGCAGCCGTCGCTCAGGAAACAGCCAGCTGAGTATCGGTGAAGAGACGGAAGAAGGCCTCTCTGTGGAAGCGGATGACATCAGCGCCAGTGATAAAGTATGGGCTGTGCACTGCCTGCGGAGCGCTGGGTTTGCCTGTTTGGTGCCTTGATTTACTGTGAAGCTTCCACAGTGTAGATTAATCAGGGGAGAAGCCCTTGGAAGTTGTGCAGAGTTTGTTGCCGAGTTAGATGGCCCACGCCTGAGCGGAGCCTAGTGGGCATGGAGACTGCCTTGGGCTGTCACTGGATGGGTGAGCGCTTCTGAAATGTGTGATGTTCCTGCTGGAACATGGATGCTGTGGGGTGACATCAGGCAGAGCCGCCGTACCTGTCGGCACTGTGCCCCCAGGGCACGCGACTACCAGGCCATGGCCAGGTAGGACGTTGAGCAGAAGGCGGGTAGGCCGCGAGAGCAAACAGCAAAGGCAGAGGTGGCGTCAGGCTGTCAAACTAGACGTCCTTCCTCGAGACCCGGGTTTGACCTTCTCATCGGGCCGAGGACCGAGCATGTAGAGGGTCCTGAGCTGTATCCAGAGGCAAGTCTGTGTCGCGTGAGGCTGCTCTGGCTGGGTGGTGACAGTGCTCTCCAGGATGCGAAGGCTCTCCAGAGCTTGCACCGTGCAGCGCGCACACAGCCAGGACTGAGAGGCAGCGTTGGTTTCACCGTGAAACCACAGCCTGAGTCAGCAAACCTGGCTTTGAATTCTTACTCTTGTATCCCTTGTGTTTTCTTAGGCAAGCTTTGACTTGTGACCCTCAGTTTCTTTATTTGTAAAGTGGAAGTATGAATACCTGCCTAGTAGGGTTATTCTGAATGTTAAATTTGATAATACCGAAAGTATCTTTTCTAATTCCTGACACACTGCAGGATTATATTAATTTGCCTTTCTCTTACCTTTTCATGTGTATCATCTTAAGAGGCCTAAACAGTCACTTTAAAGTTATACCCAAAGAACTGTAGAACTGTTGGAACAGTCGGTTTTCTTGGTAGAGTTAACACAGAGTTCACCTCTTGGCCCAGCCTCTTCAGTTCATCACAACTTTCAAAGTGTGGAGATAAAAGCGAGCCGGGGGACTGGGAATTCACAGCTGCGTGGCTGTGGTTGGTGGATTTGCGGGCGGGCTGTAGGGGAGAGAGACGCATGACTCTGCCCCCGGGGGCCTTGGGTTGCTGGCAGGTGGCCCCGGGGTGGGGGACGGCTTCTGGGGGCTGTCCCTCACAGCTCCTGCTTCCCTGTTCTTGCCACATCATATGCTTTCTAGAATTTTCACTGAAAAGCCTAACTTTACACAGTTGTGACCGTCATCTGGTTTGTAAGCCAGCCTTTTTTATAGACTTCTGTGCAGACACCTGGGATCGCAGAGTGTTTGTGAGGTGTGCTCTGGTGGAGCAGCCAGCTGAGGGACAAACCAGTCCCCGTGAAGCACCCACTGTCTGGAGAGCACAGCCAGGGTGCGGGGCGTGAGAAAGAGGGCAGTCAGGAGCAGCGGCCCTGTGGGCCCTCGGGTCTGCTCGGCATCCCACTCACAAAACGTCTGTGTGCCTCCATTTTCACACGTACCTTCTGTCTCTTGGGCAGGGGAGGTGGATGTGAAAAGGACAGTGCACGACAGTCCCGATGGAAAGGGGCGTGTGTCCCTTTAGGGCTGTGACAACTCAGAGATGAGCACCGATGTTTGACCTGGATTTGAAAGATGGCTGGGATGTGGCCGTGCTCAGGTCCGTAGCTGCGTCTGGAGCAGAGACAGCCATGTGGGCCAGGTGTCGAGTGGAAGGTGCAGGGGCTGTGAGACCCCTGGGGTACAAGGCCATCTGTCTGGGGGGCCCAGACTCAGCCCCAAACCAGGGGAGGAGGCGCAGTGACAGGGCCGCCAGCGGTCTGAAGGTGAGTGTGAACCAGGAATCGGTAATGGAGCAGGGGCAGAGGGGTGCAGAGGGGAGAGCAGGCTCCCTCAGGGACGGCGCGCGGGCGTGCACACCACTGCCAGCGCCAGCAGCTGACCCAGCCAATGTGAGCGCGTTCACTCTTGTTAAGGCTTTTGGAAATGTTTTGAAAAGTTCTTGATTGCTAATTCGTGTTTTAACTTGCTGTCACAGGGATCCTTCATTTCCTTTTCAATGCTCACAAAGTATCTTTGAGATATTTTTATCTTGTGGATTGAAAAATCTCTGTATCTATATTTTTGAGCTACAGTGAGTTCTAATTCTATAACTGCTGAGGTATGAAAGCCTTTACTAATTAAATAGCCCTCTGTTCCAGGTTAGCCCCCGTTCCCGGTCAGCCCCCGTTCCCTGTCAGCCCCCGTTCCCTGTCAGCCTCTGTTCCGGGTCAGCCCCCATTCCCTGTCAGCCCCCGTTCCCTGTCAGCCCCTGTTCCGGGTCAGCCCCGTTCCCTGTCAGCCCCTGTTCTGGGTCAGCCCCCGTTCCCTGTCAGCCCCTGTTCCGGGTCAGCCCCGTTCCCTGTCAGCCTCTGTTCTGGGTCAGCCCCTGTTCCTGGTCAGCCCCTGTTCCCTGTCAGCCCCTGTTCTGGGTCA